CACTGATGTTGCCATCCCTGATGATGATGCTCACGACGATGTTGCTCATATCCCTATGGTTGGAACAGTCACTTCGTCTAATTTTTTGGGCACAAGTCAAGTAATGGGCTGGCCGCAATAGTGTATAGCTCGTTCTTGTCCCGAAGCAGGTCTAAAAACCTAGCAATGGTAGAATATGAGGATTCAACTCCATTATCGAAAAACGCTGTGAAAGCTCATCTGACTTAGCTGCTCGATGGTGCTTCAAGGCGGCGGAGCACAACAGTACTCAGGTACGGTAAGGGACCTAAAATCAGCCCGTAGCTCAAAATGAGCAGAGTTTAGATTGCGCTTAGGTTCTGTTGACTTTCGAATTAATGTTGGGACTTGCTGTGCCGAGAAGCCATCGGTTTGCTGGACAGACTGGGTTTTATCCAGCGACAATGGTATCCCAATTTATTTGGGTGCAATTAAGATATGTGCGGGCTTTAATTAAGCTTTCCCAGATGACTGTTTCAATCACAGAGTTACGATTACTTTCATGTCCCCTGGTTGACCGTCTTACTGCTAGGTTCTGGATTCATCTACCCTTGCTCTTTCGCTCAACCTCTTTTTGTCAAGTTCTCCACCGGACCACCCAACAAATTTGTCAAAATAAAAAAATCGCTCCGCTGTAACACTCTCCCGGCGCCTAGCTGCTATGCTACCCGACGGAAGCACGAGGGTTGGGATACTGCCAGATTGCCCAAGCCTAGCCAGGGTAAGTTGAGAGGCAGAGGATGGGTTCGGACCACAGACCTTCCGGTCAGTAAATTCGCGCTCTAACCACTTGAGCCAAATTTGTCAGAGCCAGCGCGGTTTATCATGGCTGCCCATTCTCGCTTCAGTCTCTCCTACTTTCCATCATCGGTGTGAACTTCACCTTCAGAAGAGCTGTGAACTGAGCTATCAAAGTATCGTCTGGTGGAAAATTGATGGACTCGGATTGCCTGACGATGTGTGATCACTGGTTTCTTCACAGCTTTTTAGGAGTTAGTTCTTTACAGCGTGCCTGCTATGCCTTAGTGTGTAGTTGACCGATGCTTACTCAGTCGGAGCTACCGTAGCAGTAGATAAAACCCACGGTTAAAGTTGCTTGGGACACGACTACTCATGCCTCATCATCAGCGAAATCTCTATTTCCCACTATAAGTGTTTTCTCTGATCACCCATGGCATCGAAACTCAAAACGAAAACGTCCTATGTCATGTCAGATTCACCTCCTTTTTTAGTTTACGTGATTCTCGTTGTACACCTGGGAAATTTTACAATACGTGGCTCATAACTGCTCCAACTGAAAGTTTCAATGTGTTCGGCAGGACAATCTAGGTGTCACTGTTTTTGGGGACTTGAAAAACCTTTTTAGCATTGTTCTACTCATCTAATATTTCCTGGGTTGCAAGGGGATGTCAGATAAGTAGCCCAGTCGTAGCAGCTTTTAGCACGCTTCCGGTGTTTCTGATGTTTCATAACTTTGACATTCTGGACCCACTTTGTTCGCCTTTGGCCGTCTCGGCGCTTAAATCTAGGGCAACGTAAGCAAATACAAACAAGGAGCATTGTGCTCTCACGTATATTAAGAAGCGAAAATCTCAGAGCCAGTCATCACCGGGTACTTAGTTTAGCAGTGGTACTGTCAACCCTTCCTAACAACCGACTGTTTTGGCCAGCAATGCACAACGAAAGAGAAAATTGAGCTGGTGGTGCAGTCATCTCAACTCAAGTATGTGGGTTGCTCTCTGAATTTCCATCGAGCTTGTTCCTCGTTTTACATATTTTAAAAGCTCCATGAGTTCCGATTGTGGTGTGAGAAATGAGGTCGGATCTCTTTTGCTAATTTGAGACACCAATGGCGTCAAAGCAGCATGACCTTGGATCTCAAGGGACATGTATGTCGGGATACGCTATGGGGTATTTTGTCATACAGCCGAGAGACCCGGTTACTGCGAGTAGCGGAACTGAGACGTCTTTGAGTCTCCAATGCCCTTGATCTTAGAAGGATAGCTCGTGTTGGCTTGCGCCGACAAACCTGCAACGAGGCAATTATAAAACGAATGTTGGGCTGTGCAACAAGCACCAGCTGAGGAATTGTGTTCGACACAAGAAGCTGAAGTTATCATGTATTTCACATGCCTTATCATCGTTTGCCGAAAATAGTACTGTTTTTTGTGCAGTTTAGAGTGGTGCGCGCAGCAAGGTCAGCGATCAACCTTCCGCCTTGTGGATAGAGATGAGAGCGATTACGAAAAGTCGAATGCTGTCGGCACGATGGACCTTCCAAAATGAGGATCGCGTTCTCCCCCTATGTATGAGGCTGCAAGATATGGCTGCTAGTCAATATCACCACCAGCCGTTTGCACGTATAGGTGGGTCGGGTCACTTACGAGAACAGTCCAGCGTCTGAAGCCTCCTGTTCAACAGTTAGACTTTTTCTAAACTGCTAGACTATATGATGGAGGAATGCCCTGTGGGCCTCGAGTCGCCGGTAGTTTCGTGGAATTAGAGAAGAACAAGTCAGTCATGTTAGTACCTGACCCGCACCTTCTAGTTAGGAAGCTCAATTTTTGACCTTCTGCATCTTGCAGAGCTTGCCACAGATGATTGGGGCGAGATGGCTCAAGTGGTTAGAGCGCGAATTTACTGACCGGAAGGTCCGTGGTTCGAACCCGAACTCTGCCTCTCGACTTCCCCTATCTAGGCATGGGCGACCTGGCAGTATCCGAGTCCTCGTGTCTCCTTCGAGTGGCATGGGAGCTAGGTACCGAAAGGATGCTACAGCTGAATGCTAGGTGCTTGTCGGAAACCTCTTGTCAGTGAAACAATCAGGGACCAAAATGGCTCCCTGATATGCAGCAAAGCAGAACGTTTGGATCGCTGGGCACAGTACTTCGAACAACAATTCAGCTGGCCACCTGCTAACCCCAATCGAGAAACCCGGCCTTCAACAGAAAGTTGGACCGTAAATATGGAGCCGCCTTCAGTCTCAGAAGTGTCCGAATGCATTTCTCTACTCAAGCGCCATCGTGCTGCTGGTCCTGACGACCTTCCAC